TGCACACACCTCCGGCGGTATCTTGTCCCATTCCTCCTGCACCCTCTCCCACAGCTCCAGCATTCCCCTTGGCGGCTTTTCGTACTTCCCCAGCTGCCTTTTCAAGTATGCCCACAGGTGCTCAATTGGGTTAAGGTCCGGGGAGCACGACGGCCATTCCAGCACCGCGTACTCCTGCTCCCCAAGCCAGTCTTGGACCAGACGACACCTGTGCTTGGGATCATTGTCGTGCTGGAAAATGACCTCTGAGGGGGAAAGCTTGAAAAAATCGATGGTCTGTTTGAGCTCATCTTGCAAGATGCTGCGATACAGCGGCCCATCCATCCTGCCATCTATCTTGCACATGAACCCCGCCCCCTCATACGTCATGCAACCCCACACCATCACAGAACCGCCCCCATGCTTAACTGTCTGTTGGACTTGGTGGCTCCGAAGGCTGGTGCCCTCGCGAATCCAGGCGTACGCACGTCCGTCGGAGCAGTAGCGGTTAATCTTCGTCTCGTCAGACCAAATCACCCGCTTCCAGTCCTCCAGCGTCCAGTCGGCATGCGCCCGCGCGAAGTCGAGACGATCGCGGATGTTTTTCGGTGAGAGCCTGGGTTTCTTGGGCTGATGCACGGCGATCAGCCCCGCGGATCGTAAAGAGTTGCGGACCGTCTTCGAGTCTACGGCGAGATCGTGCTTCTCCAACAACATCTTGGCCGCGTCTGAAGAGCTTTTCGCCTCGCCGCTAGTAATCGCACGTATAACTCCGCGCTGGAGACGGGTTGTGATTAAGCGGGGGCGGCCGGCCGAAGGCATCGTAGGTCGCACCTCCTCGCGACTAGTCTCCTCAGCGAGTTTCATACCGTAATCGTGCACGGTGCTCTTGCCTATGCCAAGAAGTTTCCCTATTTTCCTAGTCGAATGCCCCGCACGCAACATGCTTCTGATCCTCGCGCGCTTCTTCTCATTTAACGGCTTCATAGCGATGCGGTCGTAGGCTCGCTTCCGGACTAACAACTAAGCTAGGAACTGGTGCGCGTGACGATGTACACACTGAGCGACGGGGGAAAATAGATCTACTCTTCCGCTCGGTAGGAAATGTCCACATCGACAGTCGAGTAGTAAATTTCAACCCCACTTTCCGTTAGTGTCACAATCGCGCCAAGCAAGAAACGGATGAAGCAGAACTCAAAAACCGAGTAACAGAATGGAAAAAAACGGGTGTTACTATTTTCGAAACATGTGTTGCATAACGATACGTTTCAAAGTGTTAAACATCCGGGCAATTTAATCCGCCACTGTATCAGACAAGAAAGACAAGTACCCGCAAGTGTCCCAACAAAACCATCACCTGCAGTATCGGCAGCAGGACCCAGCCGAGTACCACCACCATCAACACGAGGATCGCCAACGGAAGCAGACCAACTTATGCCCGCCACACGAGAAGCTTGTCGAAGTCCCGCCTCAGTCGTCGCGTTCTTATCCAACGCCGACATCTACCACCGCTCGCCCGGTCACCGTGCTCCCGACGACATCTGGCACCAACGCCTCGGACACCCTGCAAACAGCACAATACTTCAAACAATCCAAGCAGAGGTGTTAGAACGCAACGCCCTTCTGACGACGAGCGGTCAAGAACTTCGACGACCACGAGCACGGTGCTTCACATGCCCCGAAGCAGATCTTCCTCATCAACCTTTCCCAGCCCATCACAATCCAAGCGCACCCACTTACGCTCCGATGGAAAAGGTCTACAGCGATATTCTAAACATGCCTCGAGACGACACCGAAGCCGACTTCAACTACGTCATCACGTTCATCGACGCCGCAACCAGATACGTCTGGCACTTCAATCTCAAAACGCGCGATCAAGCCTTCGAGGCCTTCACCACATGGCTTCCAATCGCCGAACGAGAGTCAGGAACCAAACTCAAGAGTTTCCAGTCAGACGGTGCACTGGAATACCAGTCACAACGATTCAGGACCTATCTCGCGGAAAGGGGAATCCGACGCCTGGTGTCTCTGCCCTATGCTCACCAGCAGCAGGGGGTAGCAAAACGCATGAACCGGACCTTGCAGACGACGATGCGAAAACTGCTTCTGGGGATGAGGCTGCCCAACGCACTGTGGCCAGACGCGATGACACATGCTGTTCACCTGCACAACCTGCTGTCCTCGTCATCACTTCCCAACAACGCATCGCCGCACCTGTTGTGGACAAGAAAAAGGGGCAGCACAAAATTACTCCGCGTTTTCGGCTGCATGGTACAGTACAGACCCCACACAGCCCGAGCAGGACGCTTCTCACAAAGAGCTCGATGGGGACTACACCTCGGCATCGCAAAACATTTTCACGCGTGGAAAATTCTCGACATACAAGACAAAAACACGGTGGCATCACGCGATGTTATCTTCTACGAACGACTGACGCTGCAGCATTACCTGGACAACCTTGCCAACACACAAGACCCCACCGACGGCTTCGCGGGCCTTCGCTCCTTCGCTGACCACACTGCCGAGGCTGACGCAGCAGAAGAAGACGTACCTGGAGCCTCGGAAGCTGCCGGACCACTCCCATTCTGTTCCGTACCTGTTCCACTCGATGAAGATAATCCCCTCGATAGCAACAACCTCGACACCTTTTACCACTTCGCCGACCAAGGTTACACTACACCTCACCCCGTCGACACGAATATTTCGGAACGCATCGGCCCCAATTTCTTACCTGACCCCGAAGACGGTGACGAAGCAGCTTATTCCGGGAATGAAAATTCCCCTCGACACACGCCCACGGGACTCCAGATTCTAGGCCTCTGGGTCTCCGTCCAGAATCCGCCGCCGCCTTCTCCGCGAGAGCCTTCAACGTTGTCGCAGGCTCTGGGAGGGGAACATAAGGCAAGATGGAAGGAAGCAATGGAAAAGGAGTTAAAAGCTCTGCAAGACCGAGAAACGTGGAAACTGGTACCTGCAACGAGCATCAACGGAAAAAACGTTCTCTCGGGGAAATGGGTGTACCGCATCAAGACCAACTCAGACGGTTCCGTCGAACGATTCAAAGCTCGATGGGTCGTACGAGGCTTCGACCAACGATACGGAGCCGACTACACAGAAACCTTCGCTCCAGTCTCCCGTCACACCTCATTACGCATCCTACTCGCCGTCGCGGCCACGAAAAAAACTGCCACTACGCCAAATCGATGTCGCGAATGCGTTCCTATACGCACCTGTGGACGCTGAGATCTTCGTCGAACAACCCCACGGATTCATCGACGACCCCACGAAAATATGCCGACTGACAAAATCCCTATACGGGATCAAGCAAGCCCCGCGGCTCTGGCAGCAGCATCTTCACAGCCGTCTCGTAAAAATCGGCTTCCTACAGCTACCACATGACCAAGGCATGTACCGACTGCAGAAGGGAAGAGATTACATTCTGCTCATCGTCTACGTCGACGACCTGCTCTACATCGGTTCTACCACCGACATCGTCACCCGGTTCGAAGGGGAGCTGAAAGGGGACCTGACGCTCACAGTGTCCGACTCAGTAACCCAGTACTTGGGGCTAAATATCGTCGAAGACAACTCGGCGTTCTACCTACACGCTGGAAAGTACGCAGGTACTGTCGCGAAGAAATTCGGACTAACACCGGCTACCGCCTCAACTCCCTACCGCTACGGAAACAACAACAGCGCCTCCGCAAAACTCCCCGCGAAACAAATCCAGGAGTACCAACAGAAGCTCGGCTGCCTACTATTTGCAGCAGTAACCTGCCGACCCGACCTGTCCTATAGTGCAAGTCAACTGGCGACGCATCTGAAGCAACCGGAACAGGAGGATCTCGAGGAGCTCAACCGGGCACTACTCTACTTCATCTCCACGCCGACGATCGGACTTACCTACAGCAAAGCTACAACATCGTCCGTACAACTACTCGGATACGTCGACGCCGACCACGCGGGAGATAGGGAAAATCGACGATCTAGGACGGGCTACATCTACCGACTAGAACCCGTCGGAACTATCTCCTGGCAGTCGAGCAAGCAGGAGTTAATCGCACTATCCTCGGCTGAAGCAGAGTACATCGCCCTTTGTACCGCGACCAAGGAAGGACTCTACCTGCGAGAGTTACTCGAGGAAGCGAAGATCGCGACCCTGCCCGCCTTCTCACTCTTCTGCGACAACCAATCTGCGATCAAAATCGCAAACAAGGACGGCTTCGCCAACCGAACCAAGCACATCGCCCTGCGGTACTTCTTCGTCAAGGATGAAATCGCGAAGGGGAGACTTCAACTCAGTTACTGCCCGACGACAGAAATGGCCGCAGACTATTTGACGAAGAAATTGGCGAAGGCAAAATTCGACTACTGCATGGTGCTGACCGGACAAACAAACGTCATCGGACCTGAACAAGTCAGCACTCCAGAAACGAAGGGGAGTGTTGAAAGTACATCAAAAGACTTAAGCGTTTCTGAAGTGTAACACTACACTCGAGGAAGATTGCAAGGGGTACGCGAGTCAACGGAGGTTACACAAGGGGGCGGACAAAGAACACGAAGGGTCTGGGACTCAAAGGGTCGCAACTGGAGGTTGCGACTGACCGTTACAGCATCACGGATGGTAACCGAAGCGGCAATCGAGTCGCTATGCGACTCGATAAACCGTTCCTGTAACTGTACTCTGCAACTGCTTTCTTATCTTCTATATATTGCTGTATGCTTGTTTCTTTAATCAATCACTTGTTCTCACATACTAGTACAAGGGTTCAACTGCCTCAACTTCCGCTGCACTACTCCAAGTCTCAAGTCTCTACAGCTGGGACTTAGTCTCTGCAAAAGATCCTAAGGGCTTTTCTCAGCCCAACATAATCCAACCCTCTTTTCCTCTCCTCAACTTTCCTAGCACCTAAAACCTCTCGCCATTCTCATGGCTCCTCCTAGCTCCTAGCTAAACCTTGTGCCATTCTATGGCTTCCTAGCTAAGCTAGTCTTTTGACAGTTATCCCCTCTACAGTACCGTATTCCCCCGGATATACGCGCAGGGGTGCGTTTAGGGATTATAGTCAAATTTTGGGGGGTGCGTTTATTCGAATTTTTTCAATATGGCCTGTTGGGCTGAGAAAAGCCCTTAGGATCTTTTCCAGAGACTAAGTCCCAGCTGTAAAGACTTGAGACTTTGAGTAGTGCAGCGGAAGTTGAGACGGTTGAACCCTTGTACTAGTATGTGAGAACAAGTGATTAATTAAAGAAGCAAACATACAGCAATATATGGAAGATAAGAAAACAGTTGTAGAGTACAGTTACAGTAGCGGTTTATCGAGTCGTACAGCGACTCGATTGTCGCTTCGGTTACCATCCGTGCTGTTGTAACGGTCAGTCGCAACCTCCAGTTGCGACCCTTTGAGTCCCAGACCCTTCGTGTTCTTTGTCCGCCCCCTCGTGTAACCTCCGTTGACTCGCGTACCCCTTGCAATCTTCCTCGAGTGTAGTGTTACACTTCAGAAACGCTTAAGTCTTTTGATGTACTTTCAACACTCCCCTTCGTTTCTGGAGTGCTGACTTGTTCAGGTCCGATGACGTTTGTTTGTCCGGTCAGCACCATGCAGTAGTCGAATTTTGCCTTCGCCAATTTCTTCGTCAAATAGTCTGCGGCCATTTCTGTCGTCGGGCAGTAACTGAGTTGAAGTCTCCCCTTCGCGATTTCATCCTTGACGAAGAAGTACCGCAGGGCGATGTGCTTGGTTCGGTTGGCGAAGCCGTCCTTGTTTGCGATTTTGATCGCAGATTGGTTGTCGCAGAAGAGTGAGAAGGCGGGCAGGGTCGCGATCTTCGCTTCCTCGAGTAACTCTCGCAGGTAGAGTCCTTCCTTGGTCGCGGTACAAAGGGCGATGTACTCTGCTTCAGCCGAGGATAGTGCGATTAACTCCTGCTTGCTCGACTGCCAGGAGATAGTTCCGATGGGTTCTAGTCGGTAGATGTAGCCCGTCCTAGATCGTCGATTTTCCCTATCTCCCGCGTGGTCGGCGTCGACGTATCCGAGTAGTTGTACGGACGATGTTGTCGCTTTGCTGTAGGTAAGTCCGATCGTCGGCGTGGAGATGAAGTAGAGTAGTGCCCGGTTGAGCTCCTCGAGATCCTCCTGTTCCGGTTGCTTCAGATGCGTCGCCAGTTGACTTGCACTATAGGACAGGTCGGGTCGGCAGGTTACTGCTACAAATAGTAGGCAGCCGAGCTTCTGTTGATACTCCTGGATTTGCTTCGCGGGGAGTTTTGCGGAGGCGCTGTTGTTGTTTCCGTAGTGGTAGGGAGTTGAGGCGGTAGCCGGTGTTAGTCCGAATTTCTTCGCGACAGTGCCTGCGTACTTTCCAGCGTGTAGGTAGAACGCCGAGTTGTCTTCGACGATATTTAGTCCCAAGTACTGGGTCACTGAGTCGGACACCGTGAGCGTCAGGTCCCCTTTCAGCTCCCCTTCGAACCAGGTGACGATGTCGGTGGTAGAACCGATGTAGAGCAGGTCGTCGACGTAGACGATGAGCAGAATGTAATCTCTTCCCTTCTGCAGTCGGTACATGCCTTGGTCATGTGGTAACTGTAGGAATCCGATTTTTACGAGCCGGCCGTGAAGGTGTTGCTGCCAGAGCCGTGGGGCTTGCTTGATCCCGTAAAGGGATTTTTCCAGCTGGCATACTTTTGAAGGGTCGTCGATGAATCCGTGGGGTTGTTCGACGAAGATTTCGGCGTCCACAGGTGCGTACAAGAAGGCGTTTGCGACGTCGATTTGCCGTAGTGGTAGTTTCTTCGTGGCCGCGACGGCGAGTAGGATGCGCAGGGAGGTGTGACGGGAGACTGGGGCGAAGGTTTCTGTGTAGTCGGTTCCGTATCGTTGGTCGAAGCCTCGTACGACCCATCGCGCTTTAAAACGTTCGATGGAGCCGTCCGCGTTGGTCTTAATGCGGTACACCCATTTCCCCGAGAGAATGTTCCTCCCGTTGGTGTTGGTTGTCGGTACTAACTTCCATGTATTCCGGTCTTGGAGGGCTTTTAACTCTTTTTCCATTGCTTCCTTCCATTTCGCCTTATGTTCCCCCCCCAGAGCCTGCGACAGGGTCGATGGCTCGCGCGGAGAAGGCGGCGGCGGGTGCTGGACGGAGACCCAGAGTCCTAGGATCTGCAGTCCCGTGGCTTTGTGTCGAGGGGAATTTTCATTCCCGGGATAAGCTGCTTCATCACCGTCTTCAGGATCGGGTAAGAAGTTTGGCCCGATGCGTTCGGAAATATTCGAGTCGACGGGGTGTGGTGTAGCGTAGCCTTGGTCAGCGAAGTGGTAAAAGGTGTCGAGGTTGTTGCTATCGAGGGGATTATCTTCATCGAGTGGAACAGGTACGGAGCAGTAGGGGAGTGGTCCGGCAGCCTCCGAGGCTCCAGGGACGTCTTCTTCTGCTGCGTCAGCCTCGGCAGCATGGTCAGCGAAGGAGCGAAGGCCCACGAAGCCGTCGGTGGGGTCGGCTGAGTTGGCAATGTTGTCCAGGTAATGCTGCAGCGTCAGTCGCTCGTAGAAGATAACATCACGTGATGCTACCGTATTTTTGTCTTGTATGTCGAGAATCTTCCACGCATGAAAATGTTTGGCGATGCCGAGGTGTAGTCCCCACCGAGCTCGTTGAGTGAAGCGTCCTGCTCGAGCTGTGTGGGGTCTGTATTGTACCATGCAGCCGAAAACTCGAAGTAATTTTGTGCTGCCCCGTTTTCCCGTCCACAGCAGGTGCGGTGATGCGTTGTTGGGGAGCGATGACGAGGACAACAGGTTGTGCAGGTGGACTGCATGTGTCATCGCGTCTGGCCACAGTGTGTTGGGCAGTTTCATCCCCAGGAGCAGCTTTCGCATCGTCGTCTGCAAGGTCCGGTTCATGCGTTCGGCGACCCCCTGCTGCTGGTGAGCGTATGGTAGGGACACCAGGCGCTTGATTCCTCTTTCCGCCAGATAGGTCCTGAAGCGTTGTGACTGGTATTCCAGGGCACCGTCTGACTGGAAGCTTTTGAGCTTGGTTCCTGATTCCCGCTCGGCGATGGGGAGCCATGTTGTGAAGGCGTCGAAGGCTTGATCGCGCGTCTTGAGGTTGTAATGCCAAGTGTATCTTGTTGCTGCATCGACGAAGGTGATGACGTAGTTGAAGTCGGCTTCCGTGTCGTCTCGAGGCATGTTCAAGATGTCGCTGTAGACTTTTTCCATCGTTGCATATGCAGGCGCGCTTGGATTATGATGGGATGGGAAGGGTTGATGAGGAAGATCTGCTCCGGGGCACGTGAAGCATCGTGCTCTTGGTCGTCGAAGTTCTTGGCCGCTCGTCGTTAGAAGGGCGTTACGTTCTAACACCTCTGCTTGGATTGTTTGTAGTATCGTGCTGTTTGCAGGATGTCCGAGACGTTGGTGCCAGATGTCGTCGGGAGCGCGGTGACCGGGCGAGCGGTGGTAGATGTCGGCGTTGGAGAAGAACGCGACGACCGAGGCGGGACTTCGACAGGCTTCTCGTGTGGCGGGCATAAGTTGGTCTGCTTCGGTTGGCGGTCTTCGTGTCGTCGGTGGTGGTACTCGGCTGGGTCCTGCTGCCGATGCTGCAGGTGATGGTTTTGTTGGGACGCTTGCTGGTACTTGTCTTTCTTGTCTGATAACTGCTAAGGCTCGTGTTCTTTCTGCTGCAGGTATGGTGTTGGAGTGCCAGAAGCCGTCACTGTCGAAGTCGGGATCAAGATCCGGCGGGTGTGTCCAGGCGGCGAATGATACGATACCGTCGCTATCTGCAGTACCGCGGTCGGGGACGAAGTCCAACACGAAGACGCCGGACTTCAGGAGGGCACGACCGATGAAGAGGCCGCCCTTCCCGTGGTAAAGCCGGAACTCGTTGGAGAAGGAGTCGCACTCCAGGTGAATCCCCTTAGCCATTAGTTGGCTTACGCTTAGTAGGTTGTATCCCAGATTGTCGACGATGAGGACCTTGTTGAGCTGAAGAATAACGTTTGTCTCCATTGATTGTAACTGAACCACGCCTTGTCTGTTTGTTTTCAGGTTTTCGTTGTTGGCGACGGTGATGACGACGTCGCGGTTGAGGCGTCGCTCGTGTTGTACGAAGCGTCCGGAGGAGCACATGTGCTGACCGCAGCAACTATCCAAGAACCAGGTGTTCCGCCCGGTGGGTTCGGCGTTGGCGACTGCAGCGTATGTCGGGTTGACCTGAAGTCCTTGTGAGCGCGGCGGCGGGAATTCCTCTTCGTCTGGTGCGTAAGTGGGTGGTGATCCGGGTGCGCAGTTGTCGATGTGTACCATGCAGTTAATAATATTTGGTGTTTGTTGTGCAGATGTTGAAGAGCGCCTTGGGGGACTTGCTTGGGTTGAGGCGACTTGTGGGTCTGCTGGACGGTAAACGCGAGGGCGGTTGCAGTTGACCTTGGAGTGCCCGGAAGTCTGACAGTTGTGGCAGAACGGCGACACGAAGGTAGTCCCTCTGTTGTCGTGCTCTTGCTTGCCGCGTCGGTTGTGGTTGTTGTCATTTCTTCGTTGAGTGTAGAAGACTAACTGCTGTTGCTTCCTTGGTTGTCTTTCCTCGAATAGATCCATCTCCTGTTGTTCAGCATGGAGCTCGGCGCAGAGGTGCATCTCCGAAATTCTTCCGTGGGCGCGAAGAAGTGATCGTGTGGTTCTCCATTCTGGCCCGAGCCCGGCGAGGACAAGTGTCACGAAGCTTTCTTCAGTGATTGTTCCTCCGCACCGAAGCAGGCGGTCGCGGAGAGTCTGGCAGCGACTCATATATTGCATTGCCTTTTCCCCGGTCTTCATCTGTATTGTTGTCAGTTGTTGCATGAGTCTGCTTTGCGTCACGCTGTCGTTTGCTTGATAAAGGCACTTGAGATGATGCCATGCGAGTTCCGCGGAGTTCCCATAGCTCCGATATGTTCTGATGCTCTGCTGCTCTTGTGGTGACAGGTTCCGCAGGAGGACTGTATACGCCAGTAGCGACTGATACGTGAAGATCTCCTGTTCCTTTCCAGTGCCGTTGCTTGGGAATGGCAGGGACCCGTTGAAGTATCCCAGAAGATGCGCGGCCTCCATCAGCAGCTCGAACTCGAAGCTCCAGGTAAAGAAGTCGTGTCCGTTGAACGGTGAGGATGTTTGTAACTTGATGACGTGTGAGAATTGAGCCTGAAGACTGAGAATCTCGTTTGGTGTTTGTTGTGATGCAGCTGCTGTTGGTTGGGCGCGGGGCGGCATGAACTCGAACGTCCCCGGTGAAGAATGATAAGGCGCAAAGGTAGGCGCTTGGTTGTGTCGCCCGAAGGATGAGTTGTCGAGGCTCATCGGCGCTAATCCCATGTTTCCTCCATTGCTCTGTGTTGAATGCGCAGGTGTCCTTGTCTGCTGTTGCTGGTCGAAGTGTGACATGAAGCTGAAGAATCTCTCCATGAGATTCGGGTCCACACTTGAAGAGGGAGACGGAGTCACCATCTCTGGTACTCTTCCTGTTGTTTCTTGAGCAGTCCCGGTCTCTGTCTGCAGTCCTGAGGTGTGCAGACCAGAGTTGCCGTGTTGAGTTTCTTGGCCGCTGGGTGAGCCCGTAGAGACTTTCTTGCCCTTGCTGTCCATGTCTTGTAATCAATGAAGTCGTTGAATTGAGTTGAGTTGCAGTTTGTTGATGGAGCGCAGTTGCTGGGAGTTTGGTCTCTGACCAGCTCTCATACCATGTTGGGCTGAGAAAAGCCCTTAGGATCTTTTCCAGAGACTAAGTCCCAGCTGTAAAGACTTGAGACTTTGAGTAGTGCAGCGGAAGTTGAGACGGTTGAACCCTTGTACTAGTATGTGAGAACAAGTGATTAATTAAAGAAGCAAACATACAGCAATATATGGAAGATAAGAAAACAGTTGTAGAGTACAGTTACAGTAGCGGTTTATCGAGTCGTACAGCGACTCGATTGTCGCTTCGGTTACCATCCGTGCTGTTGTAACGGTCAGTCGCAACCTCCAGTTGCGACCCTTTGAGTCCCAGACCCTTCGTGTTCTTTGTCCGCCCCCTCGTGTAACCTCCGTTGACTCGCGTACCCCTTGCAATCTTCCTCGAGTGTAGTGTTACACTTCAGAAACGCTTAAGTCTTTTGATGTACTTTCAACATGGCCCAGTCAGGCCTGTCGTTATCAGGGTATTTTACCCTGATTCCCTGATTTCACAGGGTATTTTTTTGGCCAACCCTTAATTTTCAGGGTTGGGTTTTTTTGAACCCTAACCTCTTCAGGGTCGTATGTCTGTGAACACTTAAAATTTCAGGGTTTGTGTTATACCAACACTGAGTTTTCAGGGAGTAACGCGTACGAACCCTGAATGCGACATCCATGCGGACCCTGAATTTCCTCGAAATGGCCCCCTTACGCGTGACGGGGCCCAGTCCATTGAACACGCCCAGCATGCGTCACGTGGGGAATCTGCACTCGGCAAGATTCCCGCCGTATACACGCTGTATGCTGCCATTACAGCAACATTTGCAACCGTCAACTGGCATTCGTGACTCAGCACGCAGCAGACGAGGACAGAATATGATGAGCGCGGCAATGTCAGCCTCTGTATGACATCACCCCGCCAATCATCTCTGTGCAGACGATGCCAGCGCAGGTGCGTTTCGCCGTTGACGGTATCGCCATGGCGATACGGGAACCTGGATGGGTTATGCACCATCCATGAAAATCGAGAGATGGGGCTTCTTGGTCCTCTTCCCGTCTTCTTCACCAGCTCCTCCTCCAACCCAGTTTTTTTCATTTCTTCACGTCACAGCTGCGAGATGCTCCAGTCTTCAATCTCCTCTAGTTTCGTCGCGCCGATTTCTCATTTTCAGCATATCCGCCGCTTCTAGCCATGGCGGATGTAGGAGACTCTGGTGAGTCTCCCACTGCCGACGATAGTTCTGAACTAGGTAGGGACCCCCCCGTGGAGGTCCGTAGATCCGCGCTAGACATCTTGCGGTCTCCCACCGCAGTCCTTACACCATCACAACCCGTATCTACTCCCGCCGCTCCATATGTACCTCCGCCCGCTGTCGCTTCATCTAGCCGGGGCCCTTTGGTTCCAGACTACGAGACAGCCACGACCGTGCGTTACACGGTCGAGTGTGCGTCGACGATTTCATCTGGGAAGAAAGCACGCGTAGGGAAGTACACCCAGAGCACGATAGTCCTCGGCGGGAAGCTACATAGACCGTCGCTGCCTCGCTCGTCGCCTGAACCTCAGGCCCCTGGTATTCCAGAACCCGAGCCGCCGAAGCTCTCAAAGAAGGAACTCATCGAGCAGAAGTATCTCATGGCTGAGCACAAGTATAAGACCAGCTGGCTTCCTTTTTTCCCTTGGCTTCTGCTAACGAAAACGAAAGATGGTTACCCTGCTTTGAAGTGCAGTGTGTGCAAGGCTTTCGGCAAAGAGACAACACCGTACTCCAACAGCCGCGACGGGGCACGTGACCTGCAGACGCAAGCGATGCGGTTCCACGAACACACGACAGCCCACGAAGTAGCCGTCAAGCGTCAGATGGAGATCGCCGAAGAGATCGCCAGCACCCAGAGGCGCATGGAGAATTACGCGCGGATTGACATCGAAGGGAAGCGCGTCATGAGGCTCCTACGCTGCGTCGACTTCCTGTGCAAGTGTGATGCACCCATCAGCATGTACCCGAGGCTACTCCGCTTCATGGCCGAGCAGGAGACACCGGACATTCCGCTGCAGTCTTACGGAGTCTACCTGACAAGGTAATGCACTTATTCGAAGTACACCATGTCCTTTTTTTTTCAAAAAGGTCTAACCAACACCTTGTTGTCACTTCTGCTACTACAGGTATGGCTTCTGTCAGCTCGTCAGCAGCCTGGCAACCTACCTGCAGCGCCGACAAATGCAATACATTCTCGCCTCACCCTACCTCGGCATCAGCTGCGACGAGAGCACTGACCGTACTCGCGGTAAACATCTGATTGTTTATCTGACCTTCTTGCGGGCGCATCGTGTTGTGACTGAGTTTTTTGCACTCTTGACCGTCGAAAAGTGCGACGCCGCGTCACTCCTCGCCGTTCTTCTGGCTCACTTGCGAGCAACTGGCATCGATCTCTCCCGAATCACCGGCATGAGCACCGACGGCGCCTCTGTCATGGTCGGCCGAGACAACGGTCTCGTCGCCCGACTTCGCGAGCACATCCCCCATCTCGTCTCTTCGCACTGCATCGCCCACAGGTTTAACCGCTTGTCATTTCAGTCGCTTAGGTTTCCTACAAGTGCTTGACTAAAATTCCCTTGTGTGCACCATGCAGGGAAGCCTTGGCGGTGAAGGACGCGGCCACTGCTTCTCCAGACTTCGACATGGTCGACCTTGTGATTCGGACTCTGGCCGATCTTCTGGGACGTTCATGTGTCTGGAGTCAACGCTTCAAGTACCTGCAGCGGGCAATACATAACACCAACCTTGAAGTGCAAGGAATTCACACCGTGCGCTGGCTTTCAAGGGGTGAGGCTGTGAGGCGCCTTTGTAAGGTCCTCGGCGCCGCTATCATTCTCTTCTATGAGTACGGGCATGAGCTGTATGAGGTCGTTATCTGTTACAAGTTCCAGTTTTGTCTTTTTTTCCTGGCGGACGTCCTCGGAGTGATGAATGAGCTCAACCTCAAATTCCAGAAGAGGGAGGTGAGCTTCTATCACCCTGCATGTAATTTTTGTCCCATGCATGCACGTTTGGAATCACCCTCTGACTCCACTCCGTTGTCTGTCACATCCACCAGGTCGATGTCACCGAAGTGACGAAGGACATCGACGAGGCGACAGGGGACCTCCGCCACCGCTACTTGGAGTGCGGAGAGGTGTTCGGCGGGGGTGTCGAAGGCACGTGGCTTTCGGCTTTCTTGGCGGTCTACGGGCGCGGAGGGGGCAAACGCGTAAAGGTGCGGGGCATCGACAAGGACGGCAACCCAGTCACGCACACCTACACCATGCACGAGAAGCAGATCGACGGGCATGCCTTCCGCAGCAAGTACCCCGATTGCGAGCGGCTCTGCGCGCAATTCGCGAAGGACACGATAAGCTTCCTGAAGACGAGGATGCTGGACCTGAACAATCTCGGCCCGACGAAGCTCTTCCGCGTGTCGAAGTGGCCCCGGATGAAGCAGCAGAGAGAGAAGAAGCTGAAGGAGTACCTACATGGCTGCAGTGCCTTGTTCGACAACAGGCTGACAGGCTTTTCCTTGCAAGCTGCGCAGAAGGAGCTGGTCACGTGGGCGCCACTGATGCTGAGCCACCATGCCGACGAAGGATTCCATCAAGGCCTGACGAACTACCTCGGCTCGACGGAGTCGACCTTGTGAGAGAGTGCTGCTCGAAGGACGATTATTGATTTTCCTTTTGGGCGGTTTCATTGCTTCCTTTATCAGTTGTTGTTTATCGATTGTTGACAAGCATTGCTAATGCACTGGTCTTGTTCCATGTACTCTATTCCCCCAACCCTTCTGGCAGGCGCTGGCCCAACCTCATGCGCTTGTGGCAAGCATGCGCTGTCCTGCCGCTTAGCACAGTGGAGTGTGAACGAGGCTTCTCGCGGCAGAACGTCATCAAGTCATGGGTGCGGGGCGCGTTGTGCAATGCGCGCCTCAGCGAGCTGATGGTCATTTCCCTGCTGCAGTACGAGACTGACTGGGACGAGGCCCTTGGGTGCTGGCGCGAGAAGCTGAGGCGCCCTGCTAAGTCTGTTCTGTTTGCCGCAGCGGAGAGGAAGCGTAAGGCGAAGGCGATTGAGGGGGCAGAAGTGAGGGTGGAGGAGGAGGCAGTCCCCGACTACATGGGGGATTGGGCAGAGGATGAGGGAGAGGAGGAGGGGGGAGTGGGGGCAGTGGGGGGAGAGGCTCCTGAAGTGGAAGACAACCCCTTTCTGTCCGATGACGACGAAGAAGACGAAGTGAACATGGATGGCCCAGAATTTTAGTCAAGTGTAGCTAGTGGCATGGAATATTGTGAAGTCTAGACTAGATAGAGGACTTGTAGACTGGCGTGGCATAGTGGTGCTTTTACTTAACTAGTAGCTGTACATTCCTAGTTGATTTTTTCCCAAGTACAATGCAACCCTGATTGTTGCAAGCCAACCTTGGAGGTTTCAGGGTTGTAAGTTCCAGAACACTGAGAAATCAGGGAAGTCAAAATACCAACACTAGGCCCTCAGGGTAAAAAAATTTCCCCATTCGACAGCTCAGGGTGGTTTTTTTTGAAACGTCAGCCCTGGGCCCAGTGCGTTTAAAATGGTTTTTTGAGAAGAAAAAAAACGGCATCGAAATGTACATCTAACACCCGCCAACGTTTATTCAGATATTTGCAGCAGCGAATACAACAGAGATTCGCATGAATCTGGTCCGGAAACATCGAACCAGCCAGGCTTGTGTGGATGCAGCCAAACGGACCAACCACGAGCACAGCGGCGCGGACGCTGTCACATCTCATGTGTTGGTGATGCGGCGTTGGAGTTTTTGTGCGAATATGCTGTTTGGCGGTCCAATCGCAGCCACATGCTCGGCGGGCAGCATCCGCAAGGCGAGCTAGAAGCTCGAGAAGAATCTGCTGGTAGCTTCGTCATGCCACGACGGTGCCCTCTCAGCTCGGAAAGGAAGAGGAATCCTCTTCGTGCACCGTCATGGGCTGCACGATGAGGAATTCCCCGCTGAGGAATTGAGGAACACCCTGGTTGAAGCTTCATTATTTCAGTAGCTTTTCGAATGAGCGTCTTCATGCGTCCTCTCTCGCCAGGCCGCCGCCATGGCTGGCCTTCCACCCACAGCCATGTCTGTACTGTTCGGCAGCCCTGGTACACCAACACGCCTCTCTAGACAGGACATAGCTGCTGCCCGAGTTAGTAGATTTAGTGGTTTCCGTGCTGCACCCCCTGCTCCTCCCGCGCCGCCCGCTCCTCCCGCTCCTCCCGCTCCTCCCGCTCCTCCCGCTCCCCCGGCTCCTCCTGCACCGCCGGCACCTCCGGCCCCTCCAGCGCCCTCCGTTCCTGGAAGCTCGCGACCATGGTCTTTGCGGTTGCCCTTGACGGAGGTCGACGGAGTTCCTGTTCTGACGTTACTTCTACCCGGCAACCCGTTCCCGCCCCAGCCCGACCGATGCGACGTGGAGAGCATCTCGGACGAGGAGGAGGCTCTCGAATCCCCGCGCACTCGCGACTGGGGGATTCCCAACGGTGACGACTGGCCGGAGCACGACCAGTGGAAGGAAACGGATGAGGAGGAGGCGGAGTACTGGCACCGTGATGGGCTGCCCGAGAAGCTGCCCATCCCAACATTCCCCGAAGGTCGGAGCCGCCCTCATCCAACGACAACAAATTTCGACAGCCGCCCTCCCTCCCCCAGATCTCGGATGACACAGCGCAAGCGAAGGGCGTACACTTCTCAGGAAAAGCTGTATTGGCTGGAGCGATGGCGTGCGCTCGATAGGAACCGACGAGCTGTGCAGCGCGAGTCGGGCATTTCGCGCCGTCGAATTCGAGAGTGGGAGCTCGCGGAGGACAAGCTGAAGGAAGCTGCTTCGTGCCGCAAGCGATTGCATGGCCATGGGCGCCGCAGCTGGTACCACGACATGGAGCTTGTTGTGTATGAGAAGTTCCTAAAAGACCGCGCGAAAGGGACGCCTGTACCCGTGAAGAAGCTGCAGAAGTGGTCGAGGGAGCTGATGAAGACCATGCACCCCGACGTGAAGTGGATGGCTTCACAGCGGTGGAGTGTTCGCTTCAGAAAACGATGGGGCCTCTCTGTTCGGGCCCGCACGAAGGTCGGCCAGAAAATGACCGAAGGTACAGTACATGCTTCCTCAAATGTTAATTGTGGAACTGTTGAAACTTGTTTCTCTGCTAATTTCATCATACTTTTCTTGCACGTGAACGCAGAGTGCAAGGAACAAGTGGAGTCCTTCTGGCAGTTCTGTCGTGATGCGAGGAGGGGCTACTCGATTGACGACCGCTGGATCATCAACGCAGACCAGACGCCTGTCTGGTTGGAGATGCCAGCAGAGCGGACCGTGGAGCAAGTCGGGGTGAACTCGGTGCCGATCAAGACCGCGGGCTATCACAAGGAGCGCGTTACAGTGATGCTCGCTTGCACGGCCACAGGCGAGAAGCTCAAGCCGTGGGTCTTTTTCAAGCGGGCGACCGTACCCAAGGGAAATTTCCCTCCCAGTAAGCCTTATTCGCGCACTTTGAGTTGTCTGTGTATGCCTCTCCTTGATTTTAAAGATTTTACTAACGGATTCTATTTTGTCAATGTAGATGTCGTGGTAGCCGCCCAACCAAACGGATGGATGGACTCTGCTGGTGTCATAGAGTGGCTTGAGAAGGCGGTCAAGCCGTTCATCAAGCCCAACTTCGGCCTCCGTGCCCGCTCTGCTCTCCTCATCCTGGATTCATACCGCGGTCATCTCACCCCTGAAGTGAAGGACTTCTACGGCAAGCTCCACGTGGTGCCCGGCATCATCCCTGCCGGCTGCACCTCCGTCATACAACCGCTCGACGTGGCCGTGAACCGCAGTTTCAAGGCGCTGTTTCGCGCGTACTACCAGGAGTGGTTCGACCGCGTCGGCTGCACCATCTTCACCCCCAAAGGTTAGGTTGTTCACCCTTGCTGTGCGGATTATGCTCCATCTTCACACCAATATCTAATGGTGTGTTCTTTGTTTGCTTCAGGAAACCTAAAGAAGCCGCCACCAGAGGAGACCCTGAAATGGGTCTCCAAGGCGTGGAAGGCTGTCCCTACCGCCCTTATCCAGAAGGCATTCAAAACTTGCGGAATCTCGAATGCCCTGGATGGCTCCGAAGACTACTTGTGCCTGAGGCACATGAGAGACCCCATGGAGGCCACCGTGGATGTCAACGATGAGACCGGGGCCGACGGATTCACGGGGGACAACTCGACCACAGCTGAGGAGGAGGAGGAGGAGGATGAGGAGGACGAGGAGGACGAGGAGGACGAGGAGGACGAGGAGGAGGACGACGACGAGGAGGGTTGAGATGGAGTGCACATGGACGATGCGACGACTGTAGGACATGGTAGACGACCCTAAACTTATAGAAATTGGAGGCTGTGCATCTGTTTAGGTAGTCGAGGTGTGGGCTGTAGAGCATGGTAGATGATGTAACTGTAGAAGTTGACTAATATAGATCTGACTTCTTATATCTAATTACAATGTTAAGTTGTCTTTAATGAACTATGTTCATGAAATTTAAGCTATTTTGGGGGGGTGCTTATAGGGATTAGACACCTGTGATTATACGGGTGCGTATAGATGGCACCTCCGATATGGCACCCCTCCGGATATACGCACCAGGGTGCGTATTAGCCGGCGGTGCGTATATCCGGGGGAATACGGTAGGATGCAGTAGCACAACTACCAAGCCTATAATTATATAAAATATAATTTGAACACACCCCCTAGGTTTGGTAGTGGCAAGCCCACTCAACCCACACACACACCCCCTAACCCCGGACCCCCCTCATTCTCGTGAGCAGCCGGGTATCGACCCCTCATGCTAGGCGATGACAACCCTGGACGAGAGGCAGCTGGCCGCATCTGGGCGGCCTCAATGACGACAGCGGCGGAGCTCGTGCTCAAGGCGGCTGCGGTGATGAGGACAAGCGGCGACTGCGGCGGCTGAGGGCTCTCGGCGGTGTGGCACGGGCTGGCGATGACCGAGTCGAAGACAGCAGCTGCGGCAGGAGGGAGAGGGGACGCAAGGAGAAGGGGTGGTGTAGAGGAGAGGGCGCTGGCTGGCGTGTGGGCGGCGGCAGCGTCACCGACGTCGCACGGTCGGCTGCAGCCCGACGGCGCCGTCAACGAGCGGCGTCGATGCTGCACGACGTGACGTCGATGCGGCATGACGTCGACGCCGCGACGTCAGTATGGCGGCGCTGTCACGCCGCGACAGCCCGACGTCGACGGCGTCGCCACCATGAGGCCGCCGCGGCATCTCAGGAAAGGTGCCACGGCGGCAGGCAATCTGAAGGTTGCGAAGGCGGCGAAGTACCAGAGAATACGCAGCGGAAGAGTAGTGAGCAGGCCCGGGACGGGCGGCCTGCTCTGATACCATGTTTTGAAGTGAGCTAGCAAGTAAGGAGAAGGCCGCCATGGAATGGCGGCCGAGGTTTAGCTAGGGAAGGAGAAAAGTGACGAGAGAGAAGGTGAATCAACTAGAAGAGAAACAGGTACAAGAAGGGGAGTTATCCCCTCTACAGTAGGATGCAGCAGCACAACTACCAAGCCTATAATTATATAAAATATAATTTGAACAGGGGCAAGCCCACCACACACACAGCACAATAAGCCACACACTCCCTAGCACCCCCATATTCAGCAGCAGCGACAGCTACTTCAGCACGGTCAACCCCACGGCGCGTGAGGTGGGACGACGTCGACAACGAGGGCAGCGGCTGCAACGGCGGCGATGGCGGCAGCGTCGATAGCAGCGGCGGCGGCGGCGTGTGGCGGCGTGGCCAGCTGCACCAGCTGCGGCAGCGGCGGCTTCGACGACAGCTGCCGGCGGTGGCGGAGCTCGCAGCTCTCGGCGGCGTGGCCGGGCTCCGCGACGGGGGGACGGCCGGCGCGAGTCAGCCGTTGGCTGCGGCAAGGAAGAGGGGACGCAGGGGAAGGGGGGCGGGGCTTCAACAGCGGAGCCCGGGAGCGTGCCGCCCCGTGTGGTGAGCTGGCTGCATGCGGGCGTGCTGGCCAGCGCTAAGAAGCGGCGCTGGCCGCTGCCGTCCGTGCCGTCCGCGCGCTGTCGCGTAGACTCCGCGGCAGCACGATGGCGCCGTCACGCCGCCACAGCTTGACGTCGACGCCGACGCCGCCACGGCTTGACGTCGACACCAAGACAGCGCGACGCCACGGCAGCGCGTCGCAACGGCCGCGGCAGCACGACGCGGCCGGCGGCACGACGACGCGGCCATAGCAGCACGGCGCAGCCGCCATGGCAGCGAGAGAGAGAGAGAGAGAGAGAGAGAGAGAGAGAGAGAGAGAGAGAGAGAGAGAGAGAGAGAGAGAGAGAGAGAGAGAGAGAGAAAGAGAGAGAGAGAGAGAGAGAGAGAGAGAGAGAAAGAGAAAGAGAGAGAGAGAGAGAGAGAGAGAGAGAGAGAGAGAGAGAGAGAGAGAGAGAGAGAGAGAGAGAGAGAGAGAGAGAGAGAGAGAGAGTAGAAGAGCGCGGCGGAAGCAAGAGAAGCAGGCCCACAAGGTGCGAACAACTTTGATTCCATGTCACAGAGCTAGGTTAGCTAGGAAGGTAGGCAGCCATGAAATGGCGAGAGGTTTAGGAGCTAGGAGAGAAAGTTGACGAGAGAAAAGAGAATGAACTAGAAGAGAGAGAGGCGTACAAGGAGGGAGTTGTACCCTCTACAGTAGAGTTCGATAACCTACAAAGCCTACAATTATATAACAAATATAATCTAACATTATAAACATATCCTTGTATGTTGTTATAAACTACACAGGGTTCTGCCTTAGAGAGTACAACCCATTAGGTTATATTCCCTTGTATGCCATGGTTCTAGTCATTCGTTAAATTCAACATGGTATCATGAGTAGGTTAGGTCCCCCCCGCCCACCAGCGCTTCCGCCATAGGTCCTAGCCGCTCCGTCGCCCTCCCGCCCGTGCTAGCCTGTCCCCTAGTGGCCCCCGTCACCTAGCGCCTAGCTGGCCCCGTCGCCTAGCCGGCCCCGTCGCCTAGTCGGCCCCGTCGCCCAGCTGGCCCTGGCGCCTAGCCAGCCCCATCGCCTAGCCGGCCCCGTCGCCTAGCCGGCCCCGTCGCCTAGCCGGCCCCGTCGCCTAGCCGGCCCCGTCGCCTAGTCTGCCCCGTCACCTATCCGGCCCCGTCGCCTAGCCGGCCCCGTCGCCTAGCTGGCCCCGTCGCCCAGCCGGCCTCGTTGCCTAGCCGGCCCCGTTGCCCAGCCGGCCCCGTCGCCTAGCCGGCCCGGTCGCCTAGCTGGCCCGGTCGCCTAGCCGGCCCCGTCGCCTAGATGGCCCTGTCGCCTCTCCGGCCCCTATCGCCTAGCCCTCCCCCCCTTGCTTAGCCGACCCTGCCTCTCAGCCGGCCCCGTCGCCTAGCCGGCCCCGTCACCTAGCCGCCTAGCCGGCCCCGTCGCCTCGCCGCCCGCGGCCCCGTCTCTTAGCCGCCACGCGGCCCCGTCTTCCAGCCGCCACGCGGCCGTGTCTCCCAGCCGCCCGGCGGCCCCGTCGCCTGACCGCCCCGCGGCCCGGTCGCCTGCTCGCCACGCGGCCCCTGTTGACCAGCCGCCCCTCAGCCTCGCCGCCCAGCCCCCTCGCGGCCCCGTCCCTCAGCTGCCCCTGCGCCTCCCACCTTGCTTCATCTGCCCTTCCCACCGCACTCCACCGCCCTGCACCGCACTACACCGTACTGCACTGCCCTGCACCGCACTACACCGCTCTGCACCGCACCCTACTGTACTGCACCTCACTCTACCGCACTCTACCGTACTGCACCGCACCGCACCGCACACCACTGCTTCCCGCCGCACTATGTCGCTCAGTACAGCCAACTACCGCCTTTCTGCTGCTGCAGCGACCATGATGGCGGACTCGGTGCTGCGCTTTGACGCGGAGGGTCAGCCGGTTGAGTTTGACACGTGGCTCGTTGACCTCCGCCGTCACCTCACTGGTCAGCGGCAGGACGGCCACTCCCTGGCCGTCCACATCGATGGTACGCTCCCCTGCCCTGACCCCCCCGTTGCTCTACCCGCTGACCTCACGTCTGCTGACCGTGAGTCCGCTGCCGCTGCTGCCCTTGCCCGTGCTGTCTGGTTGTCGCGTGACGCTGCTGCACAGCTCGCGATTAGTCATGCCATCCCCCTGTCTGAGCACCCCCGCTTTAGGTCGGTTAGGACTGCATAGGAGTTCTTAGAGGCTGTTGTCACGCGCTATTCCACCTTGCCCTCTGCCTCCGTCGGTCGCATGTCTCAGCACGGTCTTGTCTTAGGTCTGCCTGAGTCGTTCCCCGCACTACCCTCCTCACCAATGCCACCGTGCACGCCCTGCGTCGAGGGCAGCCTCCGCCGTGCCCCTCACTCCTCCTCATTCCCCCCCACCGCCGCTCTGCTGCAGACCCTACACATGGACGTCTGGGGCCCCGCCCCCGTCCATGGGCCGCGTCGAGAGCGCTACTTCCTCGTGCTTGTCGCCGAATACACGCGCTACACTACAGTGTTTCCCCTGGAGCGGAAGGCCGACGTGCCTGACGTTCTTATCCCGTGGCTTGTCTCTGCGCGTGTTCACCGAGGTCTCCCTGTGTTGCGTCTTCACTCCAACCGTGGTGGCGAGTTCGCCTCTAACTGCCTTGGTCGCTTCTGTCGTGCGGAGGGCATCACCCAGACGTTCACCCTGCCGGACACCCTGCAGCAGAATGCGGTCGCTGAGCGACGCATCGGTTTGGTCATGGAGGTGGCTCGTACCTCCATGATCCATTCCGGTGCACCCCATTTTCTGTGGCCATTCGCTACACCGCTCACAAGCTTAATCTGTGGCCGCACCCTCAACAGCCGCAGGTTTTGCCGACCCTCCTCTGGACCCGGTCCCGTGGTGACGCGCCTGCATTCCACGTCTGGGGCTGCCTCGCTCACGTTCGTGCCTCTAGCACGGACAAGCTCACTGCCCGCACCGTCCCCAGTGTCTTTCTCGGTTTCCCCCTCGACTCGTCTGTCTGGCACTTTTACCACCCGCCGTCTCAACACTTCTTTCACTCCCGCTACGTACTCTTTGACGAGTCCGTTTCCTTTTACCACCGCTTTCCCCACCGTGGTCCCCAGGTCCCCCCCCCCATGTTCCTTGTTCCCCATCCCCCGGTTGCCCCGTCTCCCCCCCCTCCCCTCCCTGCCCCATCTGGTGTGTCTCACGTCACCCCTCTCCCATCGGGTGTTCCTGCTGAGGAGTCTGCTGACTCTCACAGCTCTGCGGAGTCCATCCTACCGCTCCTCCCCGCCCCGAACTCCTCTCCCCCACTGCCGCCGTTGCTGTCACCGCCGCAGCCGCCTCCGCCGCTGCCGTCGACGCCGCGGCCGCAGCCGCTGTCGTCCTCGCCGCTGTCGTTCATGTGTTCTGGGGGTGCTGGGGAGCGTGCTGGAGCGGGTACTGGAGCGGGTTCCCGTTCTGGGGGTGCTGGCGTGGAGCTTCTCGGAGGGAGCCGCGCTATCGCTGGACGTCATGGTGTTGGAGTCGGGCAGCAGTCGCAGCAGTCGCCGACGGTGTCCACTCTTCGCCTCCTCGGTCTTCCTTCCCTTGACCGCCTGCCGATGCCTCATCTGTCGCCGTCGCCTCCTCCTCTGCTGGTCTACAGCCCAGTGTTTCCTCCCCCGGACTTCTCTCTAGCTCGTTTCCCTCCCCGTTCTCCTCCTTTGTCTCCTCCCCTCTCTCCTGATCCGACTCCTCCGTCTCACGTCTGGTCTCATCGTCCATCTCGTGCTCGTCCTACCTCCCCTGTTCAGCGGTCTCACCCTATGTTGCTTCACTCTCACGCGTCTCGTGCTCCTCCACTCCTCCCGTCTCCTCCTCCATCGTTGCTTGCAGTGGCCCCGCCCCCGTTCTCTGACTTCCTCCGTGCTGCACATCCCCTTGTTCCTCGTATCCTTGCCTCTCTTGTTACTGACCCGTCCGTTCCTGTCTCGAGTCTGTCGGCTCTTGTCGTTGCTGTCACTGACTTCGCCGCTACTCGCCGCCTTGACAACGCCAGCTCTCTGGTCTATGACCATGCCTGCCCTCCGTCCGTCGGGGTTGTGGCTGCCCTTGGCAGTGACGTCCTAGAGGACAGGCAGTACGAGCTTGCTTTTCTGTCTGAGGCCGCTCCCCATCTCTGTTCCATGCTGCTCGTCACTGAGGGTGACCCAGACGCCCTTGACATTCCGACCCCTCACACCTACGCTGAGGCCATCTCGGGACCCTAGGCCTCTCAGTGGATAGCTGCCATGGAGCAGGAGCTGGCATCTTGGAGATCCACTGGTACCTTCGTCGACGCAGTTCCCCCACATGGGGTGAACGTAGTCAATGGCCGATGGCTCTTCAAGGTGAATCGCCCTCCTTGAGAGCCGCCTGTCTTCAAGGCGCATTACGTTGCTCGAGGCTTCAGTCAGCATGAGGGGGTGGACTTCTTTCAGACCTTTGCCCCGACCCCGAAGATGACTACTCTTCGGGTTTCTACTACACGTAGCAGTACATTGTGACTACAAGCCGCACTCCCTCGACTTCTCCACAGCTTTCCTCCTGGGCAGTCTACACAAGCAGGTCTACTTGCGCCGCCCCCAGGGCTTCTCTGGTACCTTTCCCTTTGGTACCAAGTGGCTCCTCAGGCGCCCTGTCAACGGCTAGCGACATGCGCCCCGTGAGTGGCACGACACGCAACGTGCTACACTTGCTGACCTGCAGTTCTTCCCGTCATCTGCAGTCCTCTCGCTCTTCGTCCGTTCTGGCCAGACTCTGTTCTACATCCTTGTCTACGTAGACAACCTGGACTTTGCTACTGCAGACAGAGACGCGCTGGCCTCCGTGAAGGCCGAGCTGCTGAGGAGACACACCTGCACTGACCTAGGAGAGCTGCGCTGCTACCTTGGCTTGCAGATCTCCAGGGACAGAGCAGTGCGCACCATCACTCTCTTACAGTCACACTTGGTGCGCCAGGTGTTTCAGAGGTTCGGCCTTCAGTTCCCTTCCGCACAGCCCACCCCTCTGCCAGTAGACCACAGACTCTCTGTTCCAGTCCCGGAGGAGGCTGTAGAGCCTAGTGGTCCCTACGCAGAGCTGGTGGGTTGCCTCATGTACCTGATGACTTGCACTCGTCCAGATCTCGCATACCCTCTCAGCATCCTGGCTCGCTTTGTGGCCACCGGCAGACACCGACCACAGCACTGGTCGGTACGTTATCTAGCAAGTACATCGGGCATGGGGCTAGTGCTAGGAGGATGCAGACCAGTGGTCCTTACCGAGCACACAGATGCTTCTTGGGCAGACGATGCCGAGACTCTCAGGTCCTCCCAGGGCTACTGCTTTAGCCGTGGTTCAGGTGCCATGTCGTGGAGGTCCACTCGCTCCTCATCTGTTGCCAAGTCTAGCTGTGAGGCTGAGATCTACGCCGGTGACATGGCGGCACAGGAGCTCCGCTGGCTAACCTTCTTGCTCACTGACTTAGGTGAGCGGCCTAGCTCTACCCCGGTTGTGTACGCTGACAACAGAGCCATGACCCTCCTATGTCAGGAGCCTAGACTCGAGGGCAG